CATGAAAATGAGCCCAGTTGGTGTACATACCTCAGAGCTTCTGCTGGAAACCGCGACGTCATGGCGTCAATTGTTTGAGCCATCATGTTGATAAATACTTTTGTTGGCTCCAGATTTGGGTACTGTTGCTCAATTTTTTCTTTGTGAAAATCCATCGCGTGCTCAACTGCGCTACTGAAAATATAAAAAGCCAGATTGACCCTCATCTTTTCGAATCCACTAGGATATATGTGAGAACGTGTTAACTTGGGTGCAACTTTCAATGTGAAGGGACTGCTGTCGACCTTCCAAGTCATTGCCACATGTTCCCAAAGAACCTGCAAGAGTTCATAATGGTTAGTAAACCAGCTTTACCAGGTACCCAACATTTCAAAATATTATGAGAATAAAATAACACGCTTACTCGGCCCTTGTGTGTGTTGAAGCCATGCTTAATCATGATGTTTCGCACACATTTCACAAGATGAGGGAAGTCCGAAATAAAATGGAGGAAGCGCTTGTCGTCGCATGGATGTGTAACCTTACATCGTACATGTTTAGCATTTCCACGAACACCCATGTTGCGCCACATGGCACGGTTCCATGACGCGCCGTCCGTGCAGATGTAGTCCACATAAAGATTAGCTTTCTCGCACAGAAGAACTGCTTCTAAAATTATCTTTGTCAGCGTTGGCGCCTTCACATTTCCATTCGAAGCAAAGACCCCTGTAGAAAAAAAAATATTGCAGGTATGAGTGCAATTACAGAAAATAACAGTACTTTGATAAATGCTATTTACCAATTATCTGCGTCCATTTGCCCACAAAAGGCTGAAACATGACGACTAAGCCATGATCAGCCTTTGTGTGCTTGTCCTGAGCTCCAGTAAATTGTCCAAGGTTTATGAAGCCTTCAATATCCATGGATGACTTGAGGTCCAGGTGTGTAGAAAGTTTCATCTCGTCTATAACGAGGCCGCCATGTCTGTTCATTTCATTCATTTCACTAGCCTTCTCCTTCACGCACTCAAGAAGCTTGCGACTAAAGCCATAAGATGCCTTGAAGGCCTGCGAATGCAAGATGAGGATGATTAAATTATGCTGAATAAGAAAAAAATTGTAATCGTATACCTTGATGTACTTTTGGAGGCAGAAACGGCTTGGAAGTATAAGGATCTTATGGGCCCTGAGATGCTCGTATAAGCTCGGGCTCTTGATCCTTAAAAGAATGCACTCTAAGAGCCACGCTTTGTCGTATCGATATCCTCGCATGGATTTCCGCTTCGATGCCTCAAAACACGCTCGGACTGCATACTGCTGCTTTTTCGGAAGCTGCTTGATCTGAAACAAATGCACGAAACAGGAAGCTTTATTTATGACGCTAAATATGTAAAAATACAGCACCTTACCTTTGCCTCAAAGCTGTTTTCCTTGATAGAGGAATTCCTTTGTCGTAACGTTCGTACGACCTCATGAAGGGTGTGCACTTTCTTACTCCGCCGCCTCAAAGTGCGAACGGCACATTTCAATATCATTCCCGCTGTCTTTACCAATGGGCGTCGCACCTTATTTTTTAAGCGCAGCAAACGAGCCATGAGGATTCGCCTCACTTTTCTGCACTTCAGACACCGCTGAGGCATACCTAGAAAAAACAACAAAATGGGCGACATGTGAAGTATATGAAATAATTTTTCACAGTTGTGATATGCCCAAGACGTATGTACCAAAACACAACATACCTTGTGACACAGATCCGTCACACACAGCGGAGAACAGGCCATTTGCTGACAATGTTGTGCAGTCAGACACATCTAATCGCTTAAACTCGCTGGTATTTCCACTCCACAACACACAGAGAGTTTTTCTGCATACACCAGAAGCTCTTGGGCCTCTTCCTCAGACTCAACGGTGCGCTGACAGTGAAGGTGGCCAGCCAGGAAAATGGTGCAGGAGGGTGAATTTCGCTCTCCAATTTCGAACACAGCTATCTTGTTGAAGGCAACAGGAGGTACTTTGTTTTTATGATGTTCAGCTGTTTGGTAACTCGCTATGTTTTTGTTTTGGAATGTCTGACGTGACCAATACTCCGATGGTAGTCGAAGACCAAAAATGAAGTGTTTCCGAGGTACTTCATCGTTGACTATGTCCAGTTCGTCATGAGGAATGAGCTGAACCGATTCGCGTTCTGAATTGTCAATGTCCTCGCGGCTCTTCTTTGCAGGCACGGAAGAGCCCTGTCCCATTCTCCTCTTCCTCTCTTTTGGCAAAGTTTTCGTCATATACTTTGGAAGGTTCGGGAAAATTGTTGGAATAGCACTCTCCTTAAGGGCAGGCACATCGCGTGGTAAATGGACCTCCTTTTCATTCACAATGTGCACGTAGTGTCTCATGATAAACCTGAAAACATAATAAAAAGTGAGCGTAGCCTCTGTAATGAAGACACTTCGGATTTCCAAGCAACGAAACAACAATTAATGCATGTGCTGCGGCGTTAGGTGACACACATCTAGCCGCGGGTCGATGGAGGCAGAACGCAAAACGCGCCCACGTGGAGCAACATGCCAATGTAAGTACAAGAACAACCGATCATCTGAATTAGTCTGGCTCTTTCCACTGCACTTCTGCTGCTCATGACCAGTGTGTCACACCGGGTCAGTGTGTTAACTTGTAGAAACCTCAACTTTTCTATATGCTTAAACATGTACGAATTCCATACGCACCTTGGGTCAAAATGCCTTTCGCAAACTGCAGAATTCTCTTGCAGTAGCTTGTCGGCCCTTGGTATGGCACGTGCCCACTTTTCAAATTCATCCTCACGGGCAGGTGCACGAAAGAGAGACAGCCTTTCACCGCAGGACTTGTAGCCGGCGTCGCAACCTGGCACAAAGCACCACCTCTGCGTTTTTTTTCCCCCGTCGACGGCATTCTTCAGAGTGGTTCAAAAATCGACGACAACCGCTGACATGATCTCCTTCAAGAAATTGGGAAGCGATAGAAAAAGCAGGCCGTACTTCGCGAACAGCGACAGCTTACTTGCGCTGCTCCGTCACGAACGAGACACGAGCAACACATGCTCACAGTCGGCACATGCCAACAGCGCCCCAGACTGACGCGCCAAATTTCCCCCCAGCGGCGAGAACGCGCCGAGGGGCCTCGCTAGGCAAGAGGCCGCCGCCGCAGTCATCACACCTCCCCATTCTAGCCACCCTAACTACCCATCATTCCCATGCTCGTTGAAGCGCCGTGCGTTGCAGCTCCCTTAGACACTAGCGCCAGAGTTCCCTCTAGTAAGTATTGTAGGAAACTCTATGAAGGAAAGGTTCCTTCCTCCGTGGCGACCACCATGGCGACCACAATACAGTACACCATAGAGTTTCTCAAAATTAACTAGAGGGCACTCTGGCGCTGCGATCGTTCAGCGACCATGGGAATGATGGGTAGTATAGTACACACATTTGCCTAGTCTTCGTACTTGCGGGCGGCGAATCGTACTTGCGGCTTCATTTATTGCTGTGTTTTGATTTTGTTTTGAAAGAAAGATTCAACCATTTTGCACTTCGTTACCCAATTTAGAAAGGTAATTCGAAAAAAATAGGGTGGTGAAGCGCAATCACTGAACGTTTGCTGATTTTTGTTTCGTGAGAAAACAGCTTTGAGCGACAGGAACACACGGGAGCCAAAAGCAGGCCAGAAGTACGAAGTTTAGACAAATGTGTGTACTACTACTACTACTCATCATTCCCATGCTTCACTGAAGCGCCGTGCGTTGCAGCTCCCATAGACACTAGCGCCAGAGTTCCCTCTAGTGTATATTAGGAAACTCTATGCAGTACACCACATGGAGGAAGAAAAACTTTTTTCTTTCCTCCATGGTACACCGTAAGCATGGTACACCATAGGACAATTGTAAACGCGTGCGCGCGCGATTACACTGAAAAAGCCACGCATTCAAAGAAAAAAAGTGCTGAAAGTCACGAGGCCCGCGTGACGTTTTTCTGTGGCCCTGCCATCCCTCCCTGTTTAGCTTCCAGCGCTTTCGTCGGGACGAGAGGAGAGAATACAATTGCAGCACGCGGCAAACCTTCGTAAGTCCACGCCCACTGCACAGATTCTCAAAAATTTTTGCGGCGTCGAATTCATGAGGCAATAAGCTCTTCCAGCGAATCCATTCCATGGTTACTTGAAAAAGTGTTTCAGGGCCCATTTAAGGGCACGACCACGCTAGAAGCGAAAAAACATGCGCTTCATGCTACGCGCGAGCACCTTCACCTTGGCAAGCACGTCACCACGCGTCAGCATCTCACGCCTGAAGCATCGAGAGCGCACGTTTTTCATATTATTATTATTATTATTATTATTATTATTATTATTATTATTATTATTATTATTATTATTATTATTATTATTATTATTATTATTATTATCGTTGTCGGTCACTCATTTGTTGCGCTGCGGTATGTCTCAATCAAAAACTCGACGTGGAGCGGTGGCATTGTTGGTGTTTAACGTCCCAAAACTACCATATGATTATGACAGACACCGTAGTGAAGGGCTTCGAAAATTTCGAACACTTGGGGTTCTTAAACGTGCACATAAATATAAGCACACGGGCCTCAAGCATTTTCGTCCCCATCACAAATGCGGCCACCGCGGCCTAGATTAGATCCCGTGGCCTGCGGGTCGGTAGCCGAGTGCCTTCGCCACCGTGGTGGGTCACTATACCTCAAGTTGAACATAAACAGCAGATCAACAGAAGGTCACATTCAGATTCTTAGAAAACGCATGCAACACAATCTTGAATGCGTGTCCTAGCACGAATTACCATGTCGCCCTATGCTAAATCGAGACTATTTGTTGGTCCAGTTGGTACTTGCTTAATGACATACTATATCCGCGAAACACAAACACAGAGTAAAGGAACACACGACGACAAGGACAGGTGTATTTCTTTACTCTGTGTTTATGTTTTGCGGATAAAGTACGCCCTATGAAGTCGGAGAATGGGTGGGGTATACGGCTTACCCAAATGGTAGCACCATATGCACAGCGGGTACAGCAGGTACAGGCTGGCTCTCTTTGCCCTTACGCGTTGTGGGTCGGTGGACGCGAGGTTCTCCAAGAAGCAGCAGCCGAGAAGCCGCTGTGCGCGGCCAATGACGCGGAATCCAGCGTAGAAAGGCCGGCACTCGGTGCGCAGCTGCAGCGCCTTGCTGGGCACGGCACTTTGCTCGGGCACCACTCGAGACTTGTCCCGGCGAAGCATCTCAACCAGCAAACTGACAAGTAAAACTGAAAACACGCAAGATATGGTCAAGCAATGAAAGCACACTTGCTCTGTTCACGTGATGACAAGAAATTTTGATATCCCACAGCCCGGATTTCTCTGTATTCGACAATTGCAGATGGCCGCGTTCTTGCAGAAACTCATCGCTTTCTGGCGCACACTGCCGACAGGCGTCAGAAGGCGTTGCCGTCGACTAAAAGCTAGAGATACTGTATATGACACAACTATATAGGAGCCATAGGGTAGCGTATACAGTTTGGGTTAGGTTAGATCGCTCCGAGCGGGCAAGTCTATTTTCATGGGCGAAGCTAGCGCGGATGGAGGTTGAGAAAAAGCTGCAAACCTCCCCCCTCTTCCCTCGTTTATTTTCAATTCAACAGCCTGAACTGAGAAGAGACATCATGCATGACATCCCCCTGCAACGGCGCAATACGAGCGGTCTACCTGCAATTTTTGCAATTTCGTTAGCATCGCTACTTTGCCTGCGGCAGTGTTTGGCACCTCGCCATCTTCGCAGTTCTCACCACTACCCCCAAAGCCACGGTAGACAGCGATGAACCTACCGATGACGTAATACGTGACGTTTCTGTACAGGTCGCTTGACTTGTTGGAGCAACAATAAATTAATAGATTCTCCGGGCAGTGCGGAAAGGGCCTGTTGCTGTGGACCCGCCCGGAAGCTTCTTTTCACGCGTCTGAGGCGTTGCCCGGTCTGTCTGAGCGAACGCATCGACCGAGTGGCTATTGAATGCCACCCATCGATTATTTCTTTCTCTCACAGGGGCTGCATATTCAGTGGGCGTGATTATAAGAGAGAATAAAAGTGCTTACGAATAAGCCTCTCGTAGCCCAATTAATTCAGTCCATAAGTATTCAGCTTCGCTTCATATCCATAATCTTGAAAACGAGCTACCGTGGCAGCTTGGTCGCTAAGGCGCACTCTAAGGAAACAAAGATTTCCTGTTACTTTTTTAAGAGTCATAGCTTGCCACATATCTACGTTAACTCTCTCTCTCTCTGAAGATATTAATGTGTTTGGCAAGTCCACGCGTTTCCTAAAAGGGCGTCGCTGAAGGCCGCGGACTCCGTTCCCGACATAGGCTTGGCCGCTTGTCAACAGAGCAGAATGCAAAAAAAAAAAGAAAGAAAGTTGCGTAGCTTGCACTGCATGCAGGTGAAATGCGGCCACCTAGGTAGTCCTAGTAGATGTTTTGCTATCTCAATTCCTCTATTTCTTTCTCCTGTTTTTTTTTTTGTACGTCTTTGTTGCCTCAATCTATTTCTATTTTTCTTTCTACATCTTCCCTGCTCTTTCTCGCTACCTTTTTCCGTCTCTTTTTCTCAATTTCTTCTTCTCCCCTTCACTTCCCTTTCTCGCCTACAATACCGGGCTATGCAATGCTACTGCTAGCATGTCTGGATAGCCAAGTGGGTAAGACACTCGCCTTCTGAAAGCAAATTCTGATCTTGTGTCGCGAAGAAAAAGGTTCCGATTGGCCTGGGGTGCGACAGGTGACGGCGCTGCTAGCCACGCTTGTATGACGTCAGTTCGAGGATTCGCGCGCTTTGGAGGCGCGGCGCCGTATATAAACCACCACCATGGTAAAACTCGGCAAAAACGAACCTCCATTGGTTATCTTGTGTGTGGTGGCTACCGATGCTGTTCTAGCAATCACGGGTGTCTGCTTTTAACGCTCATTTAAAAAATTCCGCCATATCCACGAAGTGAATGATGATGAGTGGGCGAAGCTCCGGAGGTAAACCTGGTAATCCATGAATCCTCTGTACATTTTGCCCACTCGATTTTATTACATCGCTCCCCCTAGCGTACGTCGCCGCACTAAATCGAACGATTGCCTTCAACCAATGACACGCGCCATATGTGACATCATTCCTATTTTATAAGATCTCGCGTCTTTCATCAACTACAAGTACCGCTTTCTAGTTTATAACATCTTGCATCTTTTCATCATCAGCTACAAGTACCACCATCTAGTAAACACTACAAGAACTAAACGAGAGGTGGCTACACACAGGAGACGGTACCGCCATCTAATGAACACTGCAAGAACTAAACTAGAGGTGGCTACATACAGGGGACGGTACCGACATCTAGTGAACACTGCAAGAACTAAACTAGAGGTGGCTACATACAGGCTACAGGGGACGCACAGCCCACGCCCTAAGGAGCTTCGCCCCTAAAAAAAAAAGCACACAACGTTTTCTTTAAAGCTACGACCGCTTGTCTCCGCGGCGAGTGCTGCGCAATGGTGGAGTCTGCTTTGTGCCTCTGTTATATGACCACCCACCCGTAAAAAGGGAGTCGACTTTCACAGTTATCCTATAAGGGGCCGAAGCTGAGGACGAAGTGAATAGTCAAAATCAGAGAGGGAAAGCGCTCCACGCCTTCACCGACCGTGTGCAGCAAGCACTTCGCTGACAGTGACTTTTGCTACACCCGCCCTGCGCTCCACTTTTCGGTATACTTTCAACCGTGCTTTAGCGACTCGCCAGTACTCCAGCCATTCACTGACCGCAAACTACAGGCGTAGGCGACTTACACCAAGAGAGATGCCGTCCCAAAACCCATCGCGAAGGCCCCTACAGACAGGGAGACGATGACACGGGCTTTGAATAGCCTCAGGTAAGCGCGCAGCAGAGCGGCGCAGGTCATCTGATACTACAGCTTTATTTGATTGGTACATATATATATATATACATATATATACGTAGTTTAGTGATCAAGACAAGCGCGCGCCTGGCACACTGCTTACCATCAATTCATAAGCGAAACGTGCTGTCGCTGTTTAGTGCACACTCACGAAATGCTGTCACATAATCTTTGTGGCCCTGTGCGCGGTATATACAATCAGCGATGGATATTTGTTATATTCTGATACCCGAGCGACGGCCATGTGTGGTATTAATACGAACTACTTCATGTTATGTCGCTCTCACTGAGGGAACATTGTGGAGACAAACCTCATTTTCATCGGCCAGGGGGTGCCTCCTTCCCGAGGCACACCAGCACTCACCCCTCAAGACTTTTCTTACTGCGATACAACACGGGCTTGCGCCGTGCCGACGCCCATAACTGCAGTCGAAGCACTATTATCTCAAATAGGGTAATTTGATGCTGCTTTTCATTTCTAGTGGATACCATGAACGGTCGATTGACTGCCGAAGCAGTAATTTAAACAGCTGCTCTGCAGTAATTATCTCATGTGTTGTTGGCGAATGCCAGAGTGGCAGAAATCGGCGATTCCCACACATATCCTCGTGTTCCCTGTCACTATCATTGCACCGCAGAAAAGATATCCTAAGGAAAGGGCACGCATGCCCTTTAGGATTGCTGTGAAAGCTAAAGTCCTTTTCACGAACGGACGAAGCACACCGAGGTACAAAGCAGTACTTCACCATATTGCGCAGCACTCGATCGCCACGGGAACGTTGTGTGGCGGGTTCACAAGTCCACGTGTTTTCAGGACCAGAGCCGCGACAGTGATGCGATTTCCATTGATGGCATCGGCTGCGCACACTCAACAACGTGGCCTGCGTCATACACCACCACGCCGTCAATGAGACACCGCGAAGTTATGCTTGCTTTGTCTACATGCTTGCAGATGCTGGAGAAAGGCACGCTCATTGAAATTTTGAAACACCCGAACTAATCAGCATCGCACGGCGGAAACTGCAGATGACGAGCGAGAACACTCGAACACAGTTTCACTTTCTGACCAGCAATGTGGTCGGCGGCATCAGCGTGCTCATCGGTTATCTGGGAGGTTCCCTGGCCCTGCTGATCCATCTGCAACTAAAACAAATTCATAATTGCACCGTGCAATTTTCGACTGAGTCGAAAACATTCGTTGTGGATATTAGATGACCCTCGCGAGGCTGTCCGTTTGACAAAGTTCCCATCCGAAGCAGATGACCTGCGAGCAGGAGCAGCGGCTGCTGCAGCGCGGTTGAGAGCGGAGTCCACAAACTGACGTCACACGCGACAGGGCGCCAGATCTCAAGGCTAATAGAATTTATCTTCCTTTATTTCTCCTTTCTTTAGCTCGTCCATCGGAGTTATTGCATCACACGCCGATTATACAGGCACACGTGTTCTGGGAGCGAAACAAAATATTAAAACAACAACGAACAAGAAGCCGTACCCCGGAGCGCCCTCTCTCTCTTTCAGGAGCTTGCTCCTTGTGCTCGGGGCTTGTCTCACGCCGTAACCGCTAGTTCTCATATTTGCAGCTTAAGGCGCGAAAACGACACGGACGAAGAGAGACAGTACACACACACGGAGCGCCCGTGTGTGTACTGTCTCTCTTCGTCCGTGTCGTTTTCGCGCCTTAAGCTGCAAATATGTTAAACCAACAAGCCCAGTCTGCTATTCTTACGCTAGTTCTCCTTTCTTCTTCTAGGGGCGCAGCTGTGCTCTCTCCGGTCGAGTGCCTCGATGCGCGCGCCCCCGCTTAGAGTGGTGTCAGCCTTTGTAAGGGCAGGTGCCGCCTCCTCGGCCTTAGCGGCGGCATGGCCGCCATTTTGACTCCGCTCAGTCACTTCTGCGTGTTCGCTGCGCCCGAATAATTGTGCTGGCGCTCGCTTTTCTCCGGTTTAATGCGCTCGCTACCGTGACCGTAGCGGGTATTGCGTGCCGCAGGGCACTAATCATTGCAAAAACTCTGGAAGCTGTATCGTTTCCTAAGAGACCCGAAATGAAGGCCAAACATGACAAGTGGCATCCGACAAACATATCATCCATTCACAGCGTAAGTTTCCAGCCGGTATTCCGCATGCATAATTTGTACCGGCACTAATTTCGTCAACAGACACGCTGACGGCTGTATGCTTGATTCTCGTGTGCATGAATCGCGTATTTCACTTCGTAAACATTGCTTGCTGCTCTTGGTTGGTACTGTATCTTCCCTTCATTCTTGGTTTCACTATGTGCGATGAGAACTTTATTATTAAATAT